CTTGTCCGGATCAGTCTGAATGTTATCAAAAAGAGTTTGGTACCATTTGCAAGGCTTAAAACTAGAAGAATTTAGTACAACTAATTCAGAATTAGAACGCGATAAGGCATCGGCCACTACCATCGTAGAACCTTTCCTATGAACAATTGTAAAATCAAACTGTGCTAATTTTAAAGACCACCGAGCCAGTCTTCCCGCTGGATTACTCATATTTTTCAACCAAATTAATGAAGCATGATCCGTTTCTACAGTAAAATGGGTCCCCTCAACGTAGCCTCGAAAACGTTCGATACCAAAAATCACTCCCAAACATTCCTTCTCCGTTACAGTGTATTTACGTTCACATTTGTTTAAAGTGCGGCTTGCGTACGCTACCGGATGTTCTACACCGTCTGACCTCTGATAGAGCACAGCTCCAAGACCAGTGTCACTAGCGTCTGTTTGGATAACAAAAGCCTCATTGAAATCCGGAGCAGCCAAGACCGGACTGGTGGTGAGTCGATTTTTGATATCAATGAACGCTTTTTCCGCCTCATCAGTCCAAGTTATCGGCTGACCCTTTTTTCGGCCCTTTAAAAGATCAGTAATAGCGGAAGAAGTAGAACTAAAATTTTTAATAAAACGGCGGTAATAACTTACCAAGCCGATAAAACGTTTAATTTGAGTAGTAGTTTTAGGAACTGGAAAATTTAAAATAGAATCTACCTTCTCAGGGTTGGTTCTTAAACCATTTTGATCTACAAGAAAACCTAAATATGTAAGAGATGGTCTACAAAATTCGCACTTGTCTAAATTAATAGTTAAATTAGCATTCTTCAACCGATAATAAATTTTCATTAAAATATCCTGATGGGTTTGAAAATCAGGAGTAGCTACGATAATATCATCAAGATAACAAAAAGCAAATGGTTCCAAACTAGGATCTATAACTTGATTCATCAATCTCATCATAGTTTGAGGAGAATTAGATAAACCAAAAGGCATAACCTTAAAATTAAAAACACCCCGGCCATGAACAATAAAAGCAGTCTTTTGTTTAGAACTTTCTTCCAAAGGAACCTGATAAAAAGCCTTACGAAGGTCTATCGAAGTCAGATATTTAGCGTTTCTTAATTTATTTAAAATTCCGTCGATCAAAGGTAAAGGATAACTATCTTTAACGGTAATTTCATTTAATTTACGACCATCAAAACAAACTCTATATTCGCCATCCTTTTTCTTGACTAGCCAAAGTGGACTAGACCAAGGAGATTGTGAAGGTTCGATAATACCCAAAGAAAGCATCTCATCAATCTCTTCATTTAAAAATTTCTGCATAGCCGGTGATAACGGATACTGTCTTTGCCTGAAGGGCTTAGCTGTACCAGTATCGATATGATGAGAGATTAAATTAGTGAGACCAAGTTTGTCTTTAGAAGAAAGCCCTTTAAACAAATTTATTATGTTCTCAAGTGACTGTTTCTGGTAAGAAGATAAATTTTCAAAAGAAGTAATAGTATTAATGGTACAAATATCCTGCTTTTCAGACTCATGCAAAAAATATCTAGAATTAAGATAATCAATAGTAAAACCAAACATTTTAAGAGCATCTATGCCAAGTATAAGTTCGTGACATAACGACGGTACAACTAAAACTTTAAGATTTAACGTCTGACTACCTATAGTCAACGGTAAATATACATAACCAACAACGTTTAATGAACGACCGTCGGCTGCAGACACGTTAAATAAACGATCAGAGTGAACTTCAAGATTAAATTTGTTAATAATATTATACGCATCGCTACCCAAAATTGAACTATTTGATCCATCATCAATTAATGCCAGAAACACATGATTAAAACACGATATAGATATATAATGACGATTATCTTGAACCTTTTGCGTCAGCAAGGGACTTATATTTTTAGTTGGAGAAAAAGAAAAATTTCGCACGATTTTGAGCCAATTATCCCAATCAGTTAACTGTGATTTTAATTGTTTTGAGGTTGGTTTTTTGGTTTGGGATCTTTGGTTTTGGTATTGTGACCTTGTTGAGACGTACTTGGTAAATTGGCGCTTCGGACGGTGGTTTGATTTCCGGACTGTTGATTTTGAAACGGACCAGTGGTCGCTCCTCTGGGGCCACCACTGGTGCCGGCCAAGTTTTTTGAAGTACACTTGGGACAATTTGGTCTTGTTTTATTTTTGTAACCACAAGAGAAACAAAATATCGTTCGCGGACTACGACAATTACCGTAAGCATGTCCTACCCGATCACAATTCCAACAAGTAACATTGTTACTGAGAGTACTAACATTTTTACTACTGAAATTTCCCGAAGATGAACCACAGCTAAGATCAGGCTCCAGTAAACCAGACGTACGAGAAGGTGGAGGTTTATAACGATCAGACAAAGATAATGATTCCTCAATACGTTTGCAACTAGTAGATAAACTGGCAATAGTGCTAGTATCAACCAAAGCTAAATGTGAAATATAATGTGGCAATAAATTACGTCTTATTTGGTTTACTATAGTCTGCTCATCAGGAGGATTCGATAATCTTCTAAATAAGCTCTCCATAACTGCAATATAAATAGTAACACGTTCTTTAGAACCCTGAGTTCGTTTCCTAATTTCCTCCAAAAGATCTATATCATAATGATAGGGAAGAAAATCTTCCTTTAATTTAGTTACTAAACTATCCCAATCCGAAACACGACTTTTATTACTAACAAACCAAGTCCATGCTTGGTCTTTAAAGAGATCCAATGCGGACGCAAAAAGTTCTGATTTAGAAAGTCCACGAGCTTGTCGCAAAAGTTCTACTCTCTCCAGAAAAGCAACTAATGATTCATTACTTGAACCCGAAAAATGGACGTTCCATTTAAAAATATTTGCCGAATGTAAACTATGAGATGTAGATGGTAAAGGCATCGAAACTGCTTGAGTTGGTGTAGAAGTCATCGGAGCGAACTCAGATACCTTCGACACAAACTCACCCTCCAAATCAATCAATTTTAATTTTAACGTATCAGCCTGTTGCTGATCGTCGTCAGAGATAATGTTAAAATTATTAAATCTGTTAGATAAATGAGTCAAGCGAGTATCTATACGTTTAAAAGCAGGGTCATTCCTGACTCCAGCATAATTTTTTATCACTGTTAAGGATATGACATAATCATATATAAGAAGTGGCAACCGCGCGAGGAAGTGGCAACGCGGGTGACCCTGTGCCGGTTGACAGAAGAAGAAGACAGACTGAAATAAGACATTGCAATTATTATAATTACACAATCACGTTTCCATTTTTTATAATTTTCTTTCAATACAGTAATTGAAAATTTAATGTGTCAATGTTATTCAACCCAGCCGCCGCTAGTAAGGGCAAGTAACACTCGGAACCAGAGCATCGAAGGCGCTAACATTTTTGGTCCTACGAGCCCGATCGGATGGGTTGAAGATTCTCAAGTCAGTCTCGATTGAAGTCAAGTTTCAAGTCAAAGTTTAACAAGTAACACAAGTAGTAAGTGCAGTATTCCAGTAATCCACTTATCCACTTTTCCAGTTTTCATTGTCGTGTGAAATAGTTGAAAATTCCAGAAATCGTAAGTTTGTTCATGTTTTCTAGCTTTTATTGTCGTTTATTCACAAATTTTAACCAGTAAAGATGAGCGAAACTAACGAAACTTCACTAATGGAGTATAAAAAGAAACGTACTGCGATTAAAGGTAAAATTACGCGTTTTAGAAATTATTTTGAACAATTACGTGTTAACGAAGTGACAGAGCTTGAAATAAATAATTTATCAAGTAGATTTAAAAGATTGAAGTACTCTATGATGAGTTTGATGAAGTTCAAAGTAATATAGAGTCGACTACGGATACTGAATTACCTAGCGACGTAGATAATTTAAGTAGAGAAGAGTTTGAAAATAGCTATTTTAATATTTTAAGTGAAGTTACGAATTTTATTGATATTTTTCAAGGTAATAAGGTTTCTGTTGACAACTCGCAAAGTTTAATAAATCAAGTTCCACGTAATGCGGATTTATTTGACAATTCTATGGTTAAATTGCCAGTTATTAAGTTACCAGAATTTGATGGCAAATATACAGGGTGGCTAGATTTTAGAGATTCATTTTTAGCTCTAGTAGAGAGAAATAAATGTTTATCAAAATTACAGAAATTTATGTATTTGCGAGGTGCTCTAGGTAAAGAGGTTTTTAAGCTAATTGAAAGTATTGCACTTGAAGAAAGTAACTATGATATAGCCTGGCAGTTACTAGTTGATCGCTATGAAAATAAAGATTTAATTATACATAATCATCTTAAGATTTTGTTTGATTATCCTAAAATTACTAGAGAAGATCATGTTGAATTGAGAAGTATTTTAGACACGTATAATATGCACGTAAGGTCTTTAAAGTCCTTAGGCGAAAAAACAGAATCTTAGGGATAGGTTATTAATTTTTTCTTTTAACATCAAAATTTGATTCAAAAACTGTTTGTGCATGGGAGGCTTATAAATCTCAAACAACGCAAGTTTCTAAAGATATTCCTACGATGGTAGACATGAATATGTTTTTAAAATCTAGATGTGATATGCTAGAAAAATTACAATCCACGGAAATAGTTAACAAATTTGTTAGAAAACCCCCAAGTTCTAGTAAAAGTTATGTTATTCATGCTGAATCGCATGGTAATAAAAGTATAAATTGTTTTTATTGTAATAAAAATCACCCCATTTATTCTTGTGAATTATTTTAAATTTGTCTATTGAAGAACGTCGATCTACAGTAAAACGTTTGAAACTTTGTGCTAATTGTCTTTTAAAATCACATTCTACTCCGCATTGTCAAAGGAAAAGATGCCCAAAATGCAATAGTCAACATAATAGTTTATTACACTTTGAAACGACGAATAGTCCCAGTTCGCACACGGCGGGCGGGGCGCCAAGGATATTAGAGGGGACCGGAGGAGCACATCGCGCGTCTCTGCAGATTCAGCATTTTCGGGGATGCCTGGGACATCGGTTAGCGGTCATGCACTAAGCGAGGTTGCCGGCTCGTGTAAAATTAAGGAAGGTCTTCTGACTACCGCGCTAGTATATGTACAGGTCGGAAAACGTCGTGAAAAATGTAGAGCGATGTTAGATAATGGTTCTCAGGGTAATTTTATTACGGAACAGTTATGCGAAAAATTGAATTTAACGCCTACTAGAGTGAATCACGTGGTAGAAGGCGTAGGAACAGCGACTACAAGTGTAAGCCGATTTGTAGAAATATCTGTAAAATCTCGACTTACAGAGTTTTCAATTAATCTAGAATGTATGGTCCTTCAAAAAATTACTAGTAAAATTCCAAGCACGTCATTTCATAAAGATATTTTAAATTTAACGAATGATCTAAAAGAGGTAGAGTTTGCTGATCCTAATTTTAATATTTCACAAGGAATTGATCTATTAATAGGTACCGGAGCGTTTTGGAAATCTTTATGGCCCGAAAAGATCGAGTTAGGAGAAAATCTTCCTGTAATGCAGAACTCTGAATTCGGTTGGATAATTGGTGGCGAGTTATCAGCTAACAAGCCTATCTCTAGTTCAAAGTGCTTTTTAACCATCAGTGTAGATAACCGTGGTTTAGAGCAACAAATTGAGAAATTTTTGGAATATAGAGGAGTTGCCAAAAACAAAGTTCAGTTTTCAGAATCAGATAAAATATGTGAAAAATATTTTAAACAAACGACGACACGCGATCCTGATACAAATAGATTTATAGTGAAAATACCGTTCAAGGATAATTTAAAATTGCTTGGTGATTCACGTGAAATAGCCTTATCTCGGTTTCTTGCATTAGAACGTAGATTTTTAAAAAATGAAAACTTGAAACAGGAATACGTAAAATGTATGCAAGATTTTGAAATTTTAAATCATATGGAAGAAATCGAAGATACAGAGCCTGAAGATCCGCAAGTAGTTATTATCTGAGTCATCACGCAGTTGTTCGGGAAAGTTCTTTAACAACTAAATGTAGAGTTGTTTTTAACGCGTCCGAAAAAACAAGTACGGGTATTTCTTTGAATGATGTACAGTACAGTGGTCCCGCTTTACAAAGTGATTTGTTTGGTATACTTCTAAGATTTAGAATGCATAAATTTATTATTACGGCTGATATATCTAAAATGTTTAGGCAAATACTCGTATCCGCTGAAAATCAAGAATATCAAAAACTATTTTTTCGCGTTAATCCTAGTGATCCAATAAAATGTTATAAAATTAATCGCGTAGTTTATGGTATGGCTTGTGCTCCATTTTTAGCGATACGGTGTATATTACAAGTTGCTTATGATAATCGTAAATTATATCCACAAGTTGCAAATATTTTGGAGAATGACATGTACGTGGACGATCTTATTACAGGCTCTGACACCGAAGACAACATTTTGCAGATTCAAAAGGACATATCCAAGATTTTATCTAGTGCAGGTTTTGATTTACGAAAATGGCTGTGTAATGATTTAAATTTACTAAATAAATTTCAAGTAGAAGAATCCTTAGAAGCTGGTATTCTAAATATAGGTGAAGATGAGTCTAATAAAACCCTAGGCATTTATTGGAATTCTAATAATGACACAATCAAGTACACGGTTGGTAAAATAAATATTTTTAAAATCACGAAACGGTCAACTCTGTCTATAATCAGTCAAATATACGATCCACTTGGACTGTTACAACCAGTAATCATAGTAGCAAAGATCTTAATGCAAGAAATGTGGAAGGAAAAGATCGATTGGGACGACGAACTACCGGAGAATATTTTACAAGAGTGGTTGAGCTTTCAGGAAAATTTAGAATTTATTAATAATATTGAAGTTGAAAGACACGTATTTCTTTCAAACTATATTAGTCTTGAAATACATGGATTTTGTGATTCATCCATAAAGGCATACGGTGCATGTATTTACATTAAATGTACCACAAATAGTTTTTCCAGTTCAAACTTGATATGCAGCAAATCACGAGTAGCGCCAATAAAACAAGTAAATTTGCCAAGATTGGAACTGTGTGGTGCAGTGTTGCTGGCACATTTAATGAAAAATGTATGTGAATCGCTCAAGGTAAATTTTACAAGAAAATTTTACTGGTCAGATTCTATGATCGTATTATGTTGGATTCGAGGATGTCCCAGTGAATGGAAAACCTTTGTAGGTAATCGTGTGGGGAAATTCAAACCCTTTCAAGACCAGACGAGTGGAGACACGTAAAGAGTGAAGATAATCCCGCAGATATGCTTTCGAGAGGTGAGACACCTCAAAGGTTATGTCACTCAAAATTATGGTGGCACGGACCAGACTGGTTATGTTTCAATCGCGATATTATGGAAAATGAAATACAAGTTTTTAAGGACATTCCAGAGCGAAAGTTATTGTGTGGTATTTCTGTGTCAAAACGTTTCTTGTTTCTAGTATTGTTTCGGAATTATTGGAGAGGTGTTCAAGTTTGGAAAGGTGTATCCGCGTATTAGCCTATGTGATGCGATTTTTGGATAATGCGAGAGGGTCGCCCAACAGTAGGCGGACGGATGAATTATCGCCCGTAGATTTGGAAGGTGCGCTGACTCGTATTGTTAGGACGTACAAATAGAGTGTTTTCCTGAAGAATATGCGAGTTTGAGTAATGGTAGGTCTCTTGCTAGTAATTCCAAACTGTTATCACTTAACCCGTTTATGTATGAAAATTTAATAAGAGTAGGTGGTCGTTTAGCCAATTCTAAATATCCTTTTAATATACAACACCAGATCATTATTCCGTATTCTCACAGGTTTACAGATCTTTTGATATTACGCGAACATATTAAATTAATGCATTCAGGCGTGCAAGCAACATTGTTTTCGGTTAGACAAGTTTATTGGGTACTGTCTGGTAGAAACGCGTGTAAACGAGTTATACGGCGTTGTATACGTTGTTTCAAAGTGAACCCTAGATCTTCCGACTATTTAATGGGAAACCTTCCAAGAGAACGTATAACTGTTGCTTTTCCTTTTGCTAATGTGGGAGTGGATTACGGTGGTCCCTTTTTATTAAAGGATAGATCGACACGCGGTGCTAAAATAGTAAAAGCATACTTATGTCTATTCATCTGTATGAGCACAAAGGCAGTACATTTAGAAGCTGTATCAGAACTTACAACAAAAGCATTTCTAGCAACGTTTGATCGTTTCATTAATCGACGTGGAAAACCTGATAATATTTTTTCCGACAATGGAAAAAATTTTATACGGGCAAATACTGAACTTAGAAAACTCTATGAATTCTTGGTTAATAATGAAAAGGAAATTTCAAATTATGCTACACGCGAACGAATAAAATGGAATTTTATTCCGCCTAGATCACCTAACTTCGGGGGCATTTGGGAAGCGAGTATTAAGCGCGCAAAATTTCATTTAAAACATTGTATCGGACCATTTTCCGTAACTTTCGAAGAATTTTCGACTATTTTAGCACGCATTGAAGGCATCCTAAATTCTCGTCCTCTTACCCCTCTCTCCTGTGATCCCAATGATCTGCAAGCCTTGTCACCTGGTCATTTTTTAATTGGACGACCTATCACCGCTATTCCATATCCTGATGTGACGCAGTGCCAAGTAAATCGTCTCGACAAGTTTCGTCGACTTCAAGCTATCAGTCAAGAATTTTGGCGGCGTTGGCAAAGGGAATATTTGCCAGAGTTGCAAGTACGAACGAAATGGAAACGGCATGGCAGCAGTATCATTAACGTTGGAAAACTGGTTCTAATAAAGGACATCAATTCACCTCCGATGTCATGGAAGTTGGGTCGGGTCACGAAGCTACATCCAGGCAGCGATGGAGTGGTGCGCGTTGTAGACATAAAGACCGCAAATGGGCAGCTTCGACGAGCTTTATCGCAAGTTTGTGTGTTACCATTAGACTAACCATGTAGCCGTTAACTGTTGAAAGCGGAGACTTTCAAGGCGGGCGGTTTATGTTAAGGATATGACATAATCATATATAAGAAGTGGCAACCGCGCGAGGAAGTGGCAACGCGGGTGACCCTGTGCCGGTTGACAGAAGAAGAAGACAGACTGAAATAAGACATTGCAATTATTATAATTACACAATCACGTTTCCATTTTTTATAATTTTCTTTCAATACAGTAATTGAAAATTTAATGTGTCAATGTTATTAAACCTAGCCGCCGCTAGTAAGGGCAAGTAACACTCGGAACCAGAGCTATCGAAGGCGCTAACAATCACATTCGACAAATCAAGAAGAGAATCGAGAAATAGTTTAACATCGTCATTAAAAAGAAAAGGGTTGTTAATGGAAACAAGACTTCTATTTGAAGATTGTTGATTCAATACGCCGCGTAAACGTTTACGTTTAGCATCAACGTTCCTGGTGGTTTCTAAACCACGAATACTAAGTTCATAGCATAGTTCGGCATCTTTAAGACAATTTGGATCCATAGTTCAAAATTTACGATAAAAGTTAAGATAAAATTACGATAATCAACGATCAGAAGTGGTAATATGAAATATTTAAAAAATTAAAAAAACTGCCAAAGCCAGATAAAAAAATTAATATAGCCAAAAAATAGCAAAAGAGAAAATTTCAAAATTTAATATGATAATAGAATTCTTTGAAAGAGAAAATTCTGGTTACTAAAATTTGAGAGAAGACTAAATACAGTCAAAATATTCAACTCCAAAGCAAACTTCCAAAGTGCAGTCTCGACAAAATGCCAAGAGCCCCACGTTGGGCGCCAAATGTATAACCCACAACAGACAGTCGACTTGGTACTGTTGAACACTACCACATAACTGGGTACTTAAACATTATTTCGAATAGCATACTGCTGTTTATTATCTTCTAGGAAGATACGAGAATTGATCCTCCCCATAAGTAGCTCACGCACTGAGACTGGTGGAGTCTCACAAGCTCTCCAACGTTAGCCGAACTGTTACGCTACCCACCAGCGGACGAGTGCAGCGAAGAGGGTGAGGCCTTTCTCCCAACCAACGAACCAACCAAAGCATACTTCTAAATTCATCAACATCCAGAATTTTGTGGGTTATAAGGCATCGAGAAGAACTTGATTAAAATCATATCATCATCTTTCAGATCGGTCAATACAAATGGAAGCTGAAAATATTACAAAAACGCTAACCATAAATAGTGGTGTTCCGCAAGGCTCAGTTTTGGGTCCCACATTGTGGAACATTTTATATGATGATTTGCTTAATGTAGAAATGCCTGAAGGCGTTACATTAATAGGGTTTGCAGATGACGTGGCTATGGTAGCAGTAGCCAAAAATGAATGTATATTAATGGATGTTGTTAATACCTCGCTGCTCAGAACATGTAAATGGCTGCTTAGCAGAAACTTGAGATTGGCCCCGAAAAAGACCGAAGCTGTTCTCCTAACCACTAAAAGAAAGTTATCTCCTATAACGTTTCAGATAGCAGACACTATAGTTATTCCAAAACAAGCTATTAAATATTTAGGCGTATGGCTGGACACAAAAAGAACCTTTGCCGAGCATATTAATAAAACTATACAAAAGGTCGAGGGCACCACACGTTTATTAAGCCGACTTTTACCAAATATCGGAGGACCAAAATCGTCTAGAAGGAGGGTTCTTATGGGTGTGGCGCACTCACAAATTCTGTATGCGGCTCCAGCGTGGCACAAAGTGACAGAAAATAAAAGACTTGTGCAAAAACTAGGTAGGATTCAAAGAACTGCATGCATCCGAGTTGCATGTGCGTATCGGTCAATTCGAGAGAGGCCGTAAATATAATATCAAAAATTCCTCCCATAGAACTGCAAATAATAGAAAGGCTTGAAGTTTATGAGGGTATTGCAAAAGATGAAGCCCGAAAGAACTTAGTGAAACGCTGGCAGCAAAAATGGAACAACGGAAAGTACGGACGCTGGACACACAAGCTTATCCCAGACATTGAGACATGGCTAAACTCGATAGGTGAAGTGGACTATTATTTAACGCAAGCACTTTCAGGACACGGGTGTTTTAGACAGTATCCCTACAAACGGAAAAGATCTAGTACTGATCTCTGTAAATACTGTGGAACAGTGAACGGCGTTGAACATACCCTATACTACTGTTTCCGATGGAGTCAACAAAGACATCAATTCCAAATACGCTCAGAACTTACATTTAATATTTCTGACATGATGAAAAGTCTAGTCATGAGCACAGAATCTTGGGAAGGCGCATATAGGACTGCCAGAGAAATAATAGAGACCAAAGAAAAAGAACATCTTCTTTAGACAGCCTAATGCACTGAAGAAATGCGAGAGCGGTTACCGGTGCATAGAAGGCAAAACGAAGGGAGGAGGGTTTTTTTAGTCGGTAAGAATCCGACACTACCAAATATCATACAATATCGTTGGTATTGGTGTCTATGCAAGATTTTTTCCCACCTCATCAAAAAAAAGATATTGCGACATGGCCGCACCATATAAATTGGTAGCATCCAAGTACATAATGCAGGAAGTAGGTTTGGAAGCGTCGTATATAGACATAAATTTATTATTCGCGATAGCTTTTCTAACACTACATTGACTGACACCGACTGACACCGCCGCGAATCCCGTGTTTAAAGAAATGTATCATGTCTAGATCTGTCAATAATTCCAGCTCGATAGATGTTGTCTTCAAAGCAGCCTGAAACGATAGGCCTGGTGCGGTGAAATATTGACAAGGATCGTATGTTTGTAGACACACCTCTCTAAAATTCTCAAAAACATCAGTTAATAATAGTACGTCGGATTTTAAATATATATTCGCCTAAAGTTTGACATTTAAATAAATTCCATACGTTCAATGCACGCTCGTAATCTCCTTGTTTGATGGCTTCTTTTCTAAGTTCGTTATAGAAGCCATCAATGGGTGGAAGCTTGGTATCGTCTAATTTGGAAAAAGAATCTACGTACGAATATGGGAAAACACCCTTCATACGAATAACCTTAAATTCTTCTTCGTTAGGGAAAAACTTTCTAACTTCGCGACACTGTTGAGACGTTAAATTTTGACTTAGTTTATCCAAGCTCGCTGCCATAAAGCGAAAACTGTCTAAAAATCTTAATTTTAAAAATACTCTTTGCTGCCGCTTTTCCTGTTCTTGTTGAGTAACGTCATCATCCACCATAACATGTTTAGTGAAAGAAATATACCTTTCTTTATTTTGGGGGATGACGTCTAATTGTTCTTCCTCAACGGCCAATTCTTTTATAAAAAGATGGCTGTCAAAATTTGATATGTTGTGGAAGAACACAGGAATAAAATTAGGTACTTTAAAATTAAGGTTACAAACAGAGTGAGCCGCACCTCGATAATTTCCTGTTAGATGACAATGGTCCCTTACTCTTTCATCTTCTATATTAAATGGTCTTTCGCAAATATGACAATGCGTTACCTGATAAAACACCGCTTCTTGTACACTACTGAGAGGAGGCATGGATACAATATTTTTCATATATCGGTTGTAGATTGATTTACAATCAGTCTCTAACCAATCAATGAAAACTTTATGTGCATCAGGCCCTCTAAAAGTCTTGAAAATCGACTGAGAATTATCAAAATCGCATTTAATGTAATAGGCAAAAGAATAAGGAACGTGTTGGTGTGTTTTCACCGTATAGGAAATTTCAGAATCCAGCTCGTTTTGCTCTGTTTGTATAGGTTCCAAAATAGTTTCAAAATCAGCGTATACAACAAAAGACACTTTTAATTTTCGTTCCAAATTCGTAAATTTAAGGATATTCTCGGGAATATTTTCGCCATATTTATTTTTCTTTAAATTATCCGAAGGGGTTTCAACTATAACATGACCACAATCGTATTTTTGATGATTTTTTAATTTAACATCTGAAGAAAAATAAACCAAGCCACCATCGCATAAGAATTTTGAATGTTGTTTGCCTGAAAGTTGGTTTGAGATTAGGCGAGACATATTTCTTATTAAACAGTAATGATTATTGCCAGAATCATCACTGATTAATAACAAATGAACATGTCTATCTACCTTATGAGATCTAGTAAAATACAAAGGACCCACAGCTTCAACAATATTCCTATCATGTTTATACGCCTTCTCGAGCCCATAAACATTAATAGGAATATTATTGAGTTGTTCGAATTTTGAAATTTGTTTCAAAGATATCGGAAAATCTATACCTCTCACATCCAATTCCTGTTCAAAAGGCTGATAATTCTGAACTCTGTTAGCGTTCTGAGTCCAATGAATTGGGTGAAAGGCAGCTAAAACCGACCATACAAAACATTTTTGGTCAGTGTTTTGAATGTTCAACACAGCCTTTTTCGCTTCTATTTCCTTCGGTAGTGGTATGTAAGATGAGGCTTTTAGTGGGTTGATTTTATTTACCCTTACATCTACGTGGAGGAGTTGCTGAAGAGTCCAACCTAAACACCGAAAAAATAATTAGTATGGTGAAAAACAGAAAAATTATATACTTACCACTATCTTTTTCATTAAACTCCTGGAATCTCCGCTTAATGATAGTGGTGAACTGTTCAAACATCTCCTCCAAATCAGTGTCCTGGCTTGCTCCCCTGAACCGACAGCCAAAGGACTTGGTTTCCTCCACTTCTTTCGTTTGCAGGAGGAAACGACCAAAAAGCTCCATACCGACTTTCACGTTACCAAACCTTTCGATTTGGCATCTTACCAGCGCAATGACTTTTCTGCGGAGATTATTAAAAAAATCATTAACGTTGATAGGATCTTTTTCGATAAAAGCCGATATGTAGCAATTCGATTTTTGTAAGATGTTTTTACGAGGTAAACACCTTCCTCCTGCATTATCAAGTGTTCTAAAAATATATTTTAATTTGAAACGTGTTAAGCAATAAAAAATAATAAAAAAACTTACCGTTATTGAAACCAAGTCTGGTTCTCTTGACTGCTGAAGGCGTTGTCTCTAACTGATCGACTAAAATAATAGAAAAAATATTTAATATAAAACAAAATAGTTGCTTACTGTTAAAAAATAATAGAAAAAATATGTTAAAATAATTAAATAATTAAATAGGTTAAAATAATAATAAAAAATATAATTACACAATATAAAATAAAATAGTCACTTACTGTTAGCGTCAGAGCTCCTTCTTTTCAGTGGCGCTGCCTCCATATTTTGGGGTTCGACATGATCGGCTAAAATAATAGAAAAAATTATATTTACAATTACGCAATATAAAAATATAAACAACATTTTTAACGCAGAATGTTAAATAAAAATATTTACTTACGATTATTAGAGCTCCCGCTGGTTTGGGGCGTTGTCTTAATTTTTTGAGGCTCGGTATGATCGGCTAAAATAATAGAAAAAAAAACATTTAATATTACACAATAAAAATAAAAAATATTTACTTACCATTACAAATCCTCATATGCCCTTTTTCATCGTATTTTCTAGTGAACATTTCTTGACATACGCCTACATATATCTAAAATAAAAAGGTATTTATAACAAAGAATATAAAATAAAAAATATTTACTTACGTTTACTGAGACTATCACCGGCTTGGAGCGTGGCAGTTTGGATTTGTTCAACTAAAAAATAATATATTTAAAATATTTGAAAAAAATATACAATAAATGAAAACTTACCATCAGCACATATCTTCATATGCCTGGACAGGCTATCTTTCCTGGTAAACACTTTGCTGTGACACACACACAGCGAATCGACAATCGACTTACTAGAATGAGAAGTGGCTATAGACTGATGCTAATTGAAAAATATTGTAAGTTGTTTTGCTGGGAACAATGCTAGACCGGAAACCGCAAACTGATAAGGCCAGTTCGCAGTACAATGTATTTTTCACCAAGTTTGATTTATTTTATTTTTCTGTTTTATTTATCGCTAAAATTGATCTTAAATATTCTAGAAAAACAAAAATTTGTTTTCATAGTCGTTACACAGGAAAACCACAGGAACTGATTAAACCTTTTTTATTTTACATGTATTAGCACCAAGTTTGATTTATTTTATTTTTACTTAAATATTTATCGCTAAAACCAAACGATGGTGACGATAAACTATCATCACGTATTGCTTTTACGTCGTAAATTACAGTTTATTTTTTTCACACACTGTATATACTAAAAAAAAATTGACAGGTGACAGATGACGTAAGACAGGTTTGACATTTGACAGGTTTAACATTTGACAAATGACACGCGCAATGCTATGATCTCACCATGAGCGGCTAAATTCTGACGGTACACGTATTGATTTTTGGCCGCTAGGGGCGCATGGACAGGCTCACAGCTGATTTTGGTAGTAGCCTTGTAGACAATGGGACGTAATACTAGGCGCGATTTTTGAATTAGAATTTTAATATGCATTTATTACATTAATTTTCATTTTGTAATTAGGTAGTTAATTAAACATATATGAATAAGAACACAATAAACAATAAACATATATAATGGTATAGTTATAAACAAAGGTAGTACGAATATAAGTAACTTTTAATATGGTTTTATTGCTTTTATTTTCATTTTGCAGTTAGGAAGTTAAACATAAAAACAACGGATAAAAATATTTCAAGAAATATAATTATGATCATTATCTGAACATTTAGTGATAAATAATAATTTATTTCCAAGGGTAGATTTTATAAATTCTTTTTCATTTGAATCTGGTTTTCTTTGGTAAGGTTTTTTATTGTTAATCTTCCTTTTGGTGGAGGTAAAGATTAACTGTTTTTGGATGTTCTGATTTACGGGTCCTTCATTTATTCTGTTACTCATTTCACCAAGAGTCAAGTTTCTGCTATCTTCAATGTTAAGAAGTAAGGTAGTGTTCTTGAAATTTTCAGAAACTTGTTTTAAAATATTTTCATCTGGTGTTCTTTCTAGTCTGCCTAAAATGTCATTGACTTGACTAATTATTTTATTTTTTAATGAAACCACATTTGTTGGGTCTACTTCAAAATTTCCATTTAAACACTGTAAATGAGTATTCATTTCTTCACCAAGTTTATTAAAATCGTTATATTCAAGAGTTTTAAGACTAATATTTGTATGTCCTATGTTTTGATCTGACATATGCTGCAACAGAACATGAATATGCTTACATATTGTATTCCATCTTAAATAATCCAGACATGTACATTTAAAGCAATGTATACATACACGACAAATATCACAAGTCATCTTACAACATACTTCATCTAATAATTTTGTGACAATATATTTGTCAGAACTATTACTACTATTAATTAAAATATAACTTGTGTTTGTGGACTTCATCTGTACAATATAATTTGCATTTAAAGCATGCCTGTGTCGTTTCTGAATATTACTTATTTTTTTTGTTACTTTCCCTTTTCGTTTTTTTTGAACTCTATCAACAATCTTACATTTTACAAACCACTTTTCCATCTAAATGATTGTATTTTATAAGTTTATGCATTGACTCTACATTCATATTGGTGTTAATACCACAATTCTTACGATAACACAAGGCCCAGTTTCTATAATTGCTTCCATAATTCTGATTAAAATATTGTCCAAATTCTGATGTAACTATATCACAACAAAATAGTTCAATGGATTTGCTCAAATTAATAGAGAACTCCTGTTCATTTTCTTCATACTGAAGATATTTCAGAGTTTTATAAACCCAATCCCTTTTTTCCAAATCTTTAATTTTATTTAGATTTTTTTGCCATGCACCATCCACATGCCAACTGCAATATAAAAAATGCTCTGGTGGTCCCATCACTTCTAACCAGGCATTAATAAAAACATGCTTTACTACTAAAATCTTTACTTTAATAACATGACCAATTTTTTCTCTGATGCACTGGAAAAAGAATGCAAAAACTGAGGTGTCTTTTCTATTTGTGAACATGAAAGCAGTTGGAAAACCTTCAGAAAATTCATCGACTACTAAAATACTTGTCAGCTCAAAGTCATACCTATTTAAGCCATGAGTGGAATCAATACATATTATATTGTTTCCAAACTTTTCCAGGACATTTTGCTGGACTTTATTCATAAAAATCAAACAAAAATCCTTATCAGCAAAATGATTTTCGGGCTTTCCTTGTGGTTTGTAGAATAAAACAGAGCAATTTTCATTTTTTTTACGTTCTTCTTGGACCCAAAAGTCAACACTAACTGCGTCATTCTTATGACGTCTCCCATCACCTGATGTATTGATGCCAAACGAAGCTTTGATATTGTTAATATCTTTTCTTCTGATGACAATCCCTTTCATTTTTGACATTATCAATCATATCATCAAATATTCTGAAAACAAAATGAAACCCGTAAAATATTTAACAATAATAATAATAAATAACGCTTTATTGTGCAAAAAGCCAAAATAGCTTCATCGACAAACCATTTACAAAACAAACAAAAGCACAAAAAAAATATACAATACACGTAATTGTATATGAGCGAATAACGCATTATTATTATTAGATATTATTAACACTAATGAACTACTTGTGATCAAGTCAAACTGTAAACAATTTTATAACAATAACTTTGGATAACTCACTTTGAAGGAGGTACTCCCAAGACTAATTTATTGGCTACCATTAGTCTATCCTTTTTAGATATTGGTAAATATTGAATATCATTTCCATGATTGTAATGTTTTTTATAGTAAATTACTTTTACTGATTTATCATTTATTTCAATAACTTTAATTTGACTTGTACACAATGAAAGCAATTTAGAACTGCCTTGACTTTTCATCAATCGCTTTCTCTGTCCATAAGGAATTGCTGATCGTACTAAAAATAATATAATCATGAAACTTAAATAAATTTAATAATTCTAATCAAATATCAAACAATAATAAATTGCCATTTTTAAAGTAAGAAATGTAAAAATCTGGTATATATGTATACACAGCATAATTTTACAGCATATATCTTACAGCATAAACAATTACCTGCTGATATTCTGCTTCGATGACAATTACAATAAGTAACTTTTTTTCACCCACTTTCTCTGTACCCTTTTCCTTTACTTAGCATGACTGGTCAGTTTGACATAAATTTTGAAACCAAGTTTGGAATTCTATAACCAGAGTCAATAAAACACTTGGAGACAATATTCAAAATAAAATATGAGGATTTACCTTCAGTGGACTTAAAATCGTACTCTACTTTTTCTGGGTCAGTACTATGTTCTTGAAGCAAATGATTCCGAAGAGTACTAATTTGAAAGAATGAAGATTCACACTGGATACACTTCGCATTATGCATTTGAAAAGTATTGGGTTATGGGATTAATAATACACGGTCGATTTTTAATAAAGAATTATTTATTCTTTTTCTAGAAACACGCACTCAGAAGGTATCTTTGCAACTTACTACTAAATAGGCAGAGCTCGAACTTTTCAGTTCGATATACATTTTGATGACAATGCATTCTTTGTTTTATTTCAGACACACGCAGGCAGCGCGTGTTATTATATTTATATTTTCTTTTGAATAATAATCATTCTGGATATGTAGGTATATCCAATACTGTGTTTATAAAACATATAAATTAATTTTTGCAAATATTCCAACACGCCCCCTCAAAAAATTAATATATTATAAACTAAACAATATAATGTAATAGTTTAGACTATTAACAATATTAATATAAAAAAAACTTTCATCTATTGTATAATTAAATAAAAAATACCTTCCTTGTGCACCCTGGGAGATAATTACAATGTGGTCCAACATTTGTCGCTAGGATTAGGTTTGAAACCCAGGAAAACCTGATCAAACCACTTAACTTACTCTAAGCCTATCTTAAAAACAACTTTTGCTTCTTATATTTCTCGTAATCCCATCTTTTCTCTTAGCTTCTTGAACTGCTGTAGTAACAGTGATTTCGTCAATAGTTATTGTTTACCTGTGGGCAAACATACTAAACAGACAACTTTGCTCTCTACTTG